AGAGAGAGAGAGAGACAGACAGACAGACACACACACACAGAGGGGGAGGGACACACAGATAGACAGAGAATGACAGAGACAGACAGACAGACAGACAGACAGAGACGGAGGGAGATTGAACCGTCTGTCAGCCCTCAGATGGAGACTTCTTAGCCTGCGAGATAACTTTTTTGTCGGGGCTGCCTAATAAAAGGAATCTTCTGAGTTCACATCAGAGGGTTTGTCGTGTTTGGGAAGCTGGGTCAGAACACTGAGGCAGAGGAATAGCATCCATATGATAATGCTCCGATAAAGCTGATATCTTAGCAGAAATCTATCTATGGATCCCAGAGGTGGGTGCTAATTTGGAGGGTCAATCCTACCTTTGGAACCACAAACGGCCATCGTGAGGGGGCTGTTACTTTTGTCTAGCTCTCTAAGGCAGGCACTGCCAGCGTGGTCTCGGATAACGGACAGTTCCTTCAGAATCAGAGCCTAGGAAAAAAAGAATCAATTAAGCAAGCGATGCTTGCAAGAATTTGCCTGTTTTCATCTCATTATAACCGAGTGTAATTAGAAGTTGACATCATTCTTAAGGTAGCAATCCAACACATATTGTTTGGAATAGAATAAAGTACCCCAAAATAACAAACAAAAGATTAATTGCTCCGAATTTTGCCAGTGGGTAAGCTACAATTAAAGGTAAAGGTTCCCCTCGGACATAGGTGTTAGTCATTCCCGACTCTAGGGGGCAGTGCTCATCTCCGTTACAAAGCCAAAGAGCCCAAACTGTCTGAAGACGTCTCCGTGGTCATGTAGCCAGCAGGACTAAACACCGAAGGCGCCTTGGAACGCTGTTCCCTTCCCAGCAAAGGGGTCCCTATTTTTCTATTTGCATTTTTTACATGCTTTCGAACTGCCAGGTTGGCAGAAGCTGGGACAAGTGACAGGAGCTCACTCCGTTACGTGGCGCTAGGGATTTGAACCGCTGAACCGCTGAACTTTCTGACTGACAAGCTCAGCGTCTTAGCCACTGAGCCACTGTGTCCCTTAGACTACAATTAGTGGTTACTAATTGTAAGAATTTGTCCCGCCGTGTTCCTTTCAGAACTAAAGAGAAAGTAGCTTCTTTGGCAAGAGAAATCAAGAGGAAGCGTCTCCGTCTTCAATTTCAAATCATAATATACCAGGAGTTTGAATTTTAACAGCTATGCCGCCGCCACTGCACACTTTACAATACTGTTAAAGATAAAACAGTAAGAGAAATTACAGGGTACGAAACTGAATTTAAGCCAGAAGCCTTTTTACTGGGGATGATTAAAAGAAACCTGAAGAAACATGTCAAATACATCGTACAACCTATATTAACAGGGGCAAGAATTGCTTATGCCGAAAGCTGGAAAATAGATGATGTACCTTCAGAAAACATGGTACTAAATAAAATACTTGATTGTGACGATGGACAGACTGATGAGAAAACTAAAAGGTAAAGAGGAGTCTGAGTATTATGAGGTTTGGGAAATGTTTTATATATATGGTTAGATAAGAGAAATATGGTTTGATATGGAGATGAATTGTAAATATTGTACCTAAGTATACAAGTAACGCTTCACACAGAACTGTTAAAATGTAAATTTTATATGCATTTTGAAAATAAATAAAATTTAAAAAAAAGATAAAACAGTCATGTGCTGGATCCAATTTCTGAACTTGACCTGCACATAGAACAGAATAACAGAGTTGGAAGGGACTTTGGAGGTCTTCTAGTCCAACCCCGTTTAGGCAGGAAACCCTATCCCATTCCGGACAAATGGCTGACCAATCTCTTCTTAAAAACTTCCAGGGTTGGAGCATTCACAACTTCTGAAGAGAAGTCACTCCACTGATTAATTGTTCTATCAGGAAAACTGTCATATTATTCATTCGTTTATACACTGCTTCTTTCCTTAGCAGTCTTTGTTAACTGCAATGTTAACATTCATCGTTTTAATATTTTAATGTTTGGGACTGTTGGTTTCATCTTTGCTGGAAGCCACTTACGAGTTGCCGTCAAGGCTAAATCACATTTTCGCCTACATTCCACTTTACCTGCAGCTTGACCATGAAAGGGAAGCGGGGTTAGAATGGAATTTATGGGTGGGAGGAACGGCATGCAAGCATCCATCAGTTCCTGTGAGACATTGCCTCCACTTCAAGGACACACTGATGTTCCAGCATGGCTGGTAGGTTCCCAAAACAATATCAGCAGAAGTGATTGGTGGACGTAATGGACCGTGGGTGGCCCGTAGGGAAAAGGGGAGAATTAAGTATGCTTGCTTTTGCGTGAGAAACCCAGAACTGGTTTTGTTTCTTCTGTTCCAATGTGGTGGTTTTTTTTCCAGTCAAGTTTTTACTCTTGGTAAAATAATGTCTTTTTCTGGATTTGCCAACTGGACAGCTGACAAGTCACTTGAGGGCGAGATAGGCGGCATATAAATTTAGTACACAAATTAAAACTTGAAAACGGGGTATAACTAACCTCTAGGGTTTCCTCCGCTGTGCAGCCAGGTTGCTGCTGTAGCTTTCCAGTCTTCAAGGCTTCAATATATTCGTCACATTTCTTGTAGCCGGCATTCAGAAGTTCGTATTTTGCCTTCAGCAAGCCTTGGCCAGGGGTGACATCGCCAATTCCAATGGAAAAGCCACGGTTAGCTATGCAAGGGCCAAGAAAGACTACATCAGCACACTTGCAGAAAAGGTGTTTCGACCCAGCTTCCCAAATACGACAAACCCTCTGAAGTTAACTCAAAAGATTCCTTTATTAGAAGCGCCAAACAGCCCCCGCAAACAGTTTCTCTCACAGGCTAACAAATTTGTCCGGCAGGGAGACAAATAATTGTCTGCCACCTCTATTCATCTCCGCCCCGCTGCCTTTTATCCCCAGAGCTAGGGTGTGGCTTTGCTAGCAGCGGTGGCTCTTTTGTCCCGAGAACCAGCCCATAGACCTCCACTGCTCTCCTCTCCTCTGCCTTCTGCACATCCATGCGCCAGGCACCGGACCCAGCTGTTCCTCTTCTGCCTCATCAGCCAACTCCAGTCCTTTACACACACACACACACACACACACACACACACACACACCAAAGCACCGGAGGGCAGGACAAGAAAAAAATGGTTGGAAACTAATCAAAGAGAGAAGCAACCTAGAATTAAGGAGAAACTTCCTCACAGTGAGGACAATTAACCAGTGGAACAGTTTGCCACCAGTCATTGTGGGTGCTCCATCACTGGAGATTTTTTTGAGAAGGCTGGACAGTCACTTGTCTGAAAGGGTATAGGTTCTCCTGCTTGAGTAGGGGGCTCGACTAGAAGACCTCCAAGGTCCCTTCCAGCTGTATTCTACTCCAATTCACGGTTCAAGATACTTACAGAGGTAGACAGGAGCCAGTCTGGCTAACCTTGACATGGCATCAGCGGCCTCCACTTGGCCCCAATCTCTCAGTAAAATGTAGAATATATTATTCTTCGATCCGGATCCCAACGTCCCTTTGTCCATGCTGCCAGACATCAACTCGCTGTTGTGGATTGCAACATCTGAAACACAAATGCAATGTAGCCGGCCAAAGGAACATTCTGGAAGAGGCAGCTTTGATCCTTCCTTGCTCGGCTGTGCAAAATGCTTGATGTTAATTCCAAAACACCAACAAAAGACTTAAGAATCTGCAACTCTTTAAATGCAGCTGCATTTTTATGGTATTCTGCGGCAGCTGCCATGAGCCTGGGAGAAGACACGGCTACTTTAAAAGGTTCCTTGTTTTCATATAGCATAGTGTGCCTGAAATTTCTCACCTGATGTGCTCCAAAGTACCTTCGGTTATAGATTCCATAGCTGTTCTGATCTAGGCTTCCCAAAATCACAAAGCAGACTTGTCATCCCGACAAAACACTTTTTTTTATTAGGTTAATGTGAATTCCTATCATTCACATCCAGCAAAGTCCTGGCAAACAAGAGTGAATTACTACCACAGACTTTATCGGGCCTGGAGAGTTGCCAGGCCGATAGCTTCCAAGCGCAACACTGTCCAAGGAAATACTTGGCAAGGAGTCTCGATGAGTCACGAACAAATCTTCACACTAATTAAATGAACCAATTGTCTCCTGCAAACCCCTCTCCCCTTTCGCTCTTTATTCCCAATGGGAGGGGCCATTCACCGTCTACCTATGCCTTTACTCCCAAATTGACCCTTGTTCCTTAACTGTTCCCTTCTCCTGGCAGCTCTGTGCATGTGCACACACTGGGAACAGGCTCCAGCTGTTCTTCTGCCCCACTGATCTCCGACTCTGAAGGCAGCTGATAACTGTCGGGCGGTCCTGGCCCGTCTCTGCCTCCGATGCAGAGCCCTCATCAGAGCCTTCCCTAGATTCCAGGACTGGCCCAGGTTCCTCCCCAACCTCCTCACTGTCCAAGTCTGCCGCCAGCTCCGCCGGCGACTGAGGGGCCACAACAGTAGCACACACACTTGGAATCAAATAAAAAAGGGCTGTTCTTCTTTCGTATGCTTATTTTATGCAACGGTGACTTAAGCGTGTTGATCTACCTGGACCTCCACTTATCACATGAGGTCTTACAGAATGGGTCACTCTCCCTGAAAAACCATCACTTTGGAAAAGAGCTCAGTACAGAACAAGAGCAGGTTAATTTTTATGCAAGTTCTTTCCGAAGGGAGGAAGTTCTGAACCACCAATAGTCTGATATGATACATTGTGGATACAGTTCAACACTAAAAACTAGGTGCAAGTAACTACAAGAACATAGTTTTAAGAACTTTGAAAATAATAGCAATAGCACTTAGACTTATATACTGCTTTACGGCACTCACTAAGCAGTTTACAGAGTCACCATATTGCCCCAACCAATTAGAATAGAATAGGGAATAGAATAGGGAATAGAATAGAATAGAATAGAATAGAGTAGAATAGAATAAGTGTAGTGTAGAATAGAGTAGAGTAGGATAGGATGGGATAGAATAGGAAAGAATATGGAATAGGAATACAATAGAATGGGGAATAGAATAGGAAACAGAGTAGAATAGAATAGGAATACCATGTTTCTCATATAATAAGACCGGGTCTTATTTTTTTTTTGAGCCCCGAAAAAATGGCTAGGCCGTTTTTTCGGGGGTAACTTAATTCCCCCCCCCCTTGCATCTTTGGGCGGGTGGGCAGTGACGGCTTGGATGTTGACCTCGGCGTTGGTGGGGCACTTCGTATCGGGGTCAATGCAGGCAGCACCATATCAGGGTGGGCAACAAAAGTACTTCCTAACAGCAAGCCCCCCCACCCCCATTTCGCATGTTTTAATATAGTCCTTAATTTGGGGGGGAGGGGCTTAATTTCATTTCATGCCTATAAAACATGCTGGGACTTCCTATTGGGGGAGGCCGTATTGTTGGAGAAACAGGGTAGAATAGAATAGAATAGAATAGGGAATAGAAGAGAAGAGAAGAGAAGAGAATAAGAGTAATAGAGTAGAATAGAATAAGAGTAGCATAGAGTAGCATAGAGTAGAGTAGAGTAGAGTAGAGTAGAGTAGAATTCTTTATTGGCCAAGTGTGATTGGAAATACAAGGACTTTGTCTTTGGTTCATATGCTCTTGATGCACATAAAAGAAAAGATACATTCGTCAAGAGTCAAGAATCATAAGGTACAACACTTAATAATAATAGTCCTAGGGTAGAATAAGCAATCAAATCATACTAGGAAACAGTCAATATAAATTGTAAGGATACAAGCGACAAAATTACAGTCATACAGTCATGAGTGGGAGGAGATGGGGGATAGGAAAGATGAGAAGATTAATAGTAATAGTAACGCAGACTTAATAAGTTTGGGTCCTCACTTTGAAAATAATATTAAATAAAAGGTAGCTACCTAGCAAAAATTGGAGAAGCCGCACTACTTACAGGAGTCATTACTGCACAAATCTTCTCCTTTGCCGCAGTATTGCTTGCCTTTGGTTCTGAGATTGGCCTTGACGGGACAACTGTCTCCAGGCTTCAGAATGACACTGAAGACCTGCTTTCCTGTCCACAGGGTGACTGGCTAAGAAAAAAAAGAGGCCAAGAAGAAAGGATTATAGATACAGATGGGGAAGAATGTTCTCCAGATGGTAGTTTGGAGGGGGATGTGCTGGCAACTGAGGGTTACGAGCCAGGAATGGAGGTGTTGAGCGCAGGGGAGCAACCAGACGAGCAGACTAAACTCAAGAATATTCATTCTCATTCTCTGTCTTGCTCTGTCCCTCCATCTTCCTCTTTTTCCCTCTGTACTTCTTTCTCTCCCTCTTTCTCTCCCTCTCACACCTTCCCACCCTCCATGTCTCTTTCTCCCTCTGTCCTTCCCTCCATGTCTCTCTCCCTCCCTCCTCCCTTTCTCTTCCCCACATTCTCTCATCCCTCTTTCTCCCTCCGTCCCTTCCTCTCTCTCCCCCTCCCTCCCTCTCTCTCCCTCCCTTTCTCTCCCCCCATCCTCTCTCTCTCTCTCCCTCCCTCCAGTCGCTCTCACACTTTCTTTCTGCCACACCTTAAGAATTGCTGGAGGTGGGAGGCGAACTTTCACTTTTTCATCCTTGCCCACCAGAATAGAGGCGATCAACTGACACGCTTTCGCTCGATCAAAGAAAGTGTCCTTTAGCGTGAGGAGATAAGCACCTAAAATTAAAAAAAAAATCCAGAAAGAAACAAAAAGCATTCAGCTAGATGCATTTTATCGGTTCTCAGGGTTTTTATAGCATGACATCGTGATGCAAAACAACTCCAAAATAATGTATTTATTTAAAGATCATTTACACGGTATGAAGATAAAAGAGCAAAAAAAAAGTGATTAAAAAGAAGAAAAATATTTTATCTCCTGGCACTTTCCTTCTTGATATAGATAGGCATATTTTCTTTCACCTTTATAAAGCTGTAAATACTATGTCAAAAAAACCCAGAAACTTTTAGGGGAAAACTTTCAGAAAAAGTGGTCCAAGGTTCATACATTTGCAGTTTATACATAACTATTTCAGACGTATTTCAAAAGATACCAACAGAAAAAAAATCTGTGACATTGTATTAATTTCTTAATTTAGGAGGAAACATTATTTCAATCAGGATCAAAAGACTCCCAATATTCTTCCAACAATAAGTTCCCTAAAGGCTCAGGTGAAAAAAAAAAGAAAAGAAAAAAGCATATTAGTTTCTATTTTTCACCTCCCGTCATTTTTTGGGGGGGTTTTGTTTTGTTTTCCAAAACACTGGGAAAATGAAGCATTTGGAAAGACTAAAATAAAACATCCTTGTTATGCCCTGTTATTTTACAAAGACGTACCTAGAGACCGATGTCAAATACACACCTGTTATTTTACAAAGACGTATCTAGAGACCGATGTCAAATACACACCTGTCAGAAAATCCTGAATTGCAGCGATCAGCGGTTCTCCATTCCTTGGGGTTACCAAGTTGGCTTTGGTCTGAGAAAAAGAAAGTATTTTATTTTTTAGTTTCCCTCCGAGAAAAGAAATGGATTAGATCAGGTCATGTTGCATATACTTCACACTTGAAGCCAATTACTTCACTTTCCTGGTTCAAGTGTAGACTGTTAAGGTACATTTGAGATACAGAGAGAAGTATAAAATACATGGTTGGCAGAGAAATGGCTAGGTAAGTGTATATTTGGGTTTCAAAGAACAAAACAAAGCAGAAAGGAGGAAAAATAATGACAAAAACCATCACCTGAAGGAATAACAGACAGGGGGGAAAAAGAAGAGGTGCTTTTTTGGGTCAGAACCTGATTAATAGCAAATAGACACCAATAAATAGTTTTTTTTTTCCCCAATGGGCTAGCAAAATAGCTTCACCCAGAACTGGCGTTAGAACTTGGTGAACTTCAATTGCTTCAAATTTAGTTGGAGTTGATCCGATCTGTTTCAGGGCACGTAATAAAAAGCATTATTAATAAAGGAGAATATTTGTGGCTCAGGGTTGAAATGAGGGCTCCTTCTCACAGAGCTACCCAAAGATACGGCAAACAGTATCTCTAAGCAAGGAAAAAACACAATTAAAATCATGGCGTAAAATGAAATAGCAGAGCTGAACTGTGACGTACTCAGGACAGAATTGGGGAATTAGTTCATTTCATATAAATTTTATTGAATTTACAATTAAAAAAATAACATAACAACATTACATAAGAAACAGAGAGAGAAAAAGAAGAAAGAAAGAAGAGAAAGAGAGAGGAGAAAAAAAAAAAAAAAAACGCTCGGTCTTGCGACCGAAAAAGGAGAAGAAGAAGTATAAAAGAGAGAAAAACAAAAAAACAAAAAAACAAAGAGACGGAAGAAAAAAGAAAATACGTTAAAACCAGACAAATATTCTTTTTGACAGTCTACAAGATCCAATTCTCCTACCTTACTTTAAATATACACATCTTATCGCTATTTATGGATATTTATGCTTATTTATGCTCATTAAACAGTTTATCTCTGATATAACCAATTATACCATGCATTCCAATTATTATCAAATGCTGAAGACTCTTTATTTTTAAGAGCTATGGTTAAATTGTCCATTTCTGCGCAGTCACATATTTTCTGAATGACCAATTGATCTGTAGGTAAACGGGATGATTTCCAGCACTGGGCAAATGCTAATCTGGCCGCAGTTAGAATATGAATTATTATGTATTTCGTCTTTTTAGGAAAATGTTTATCAGAGATCCCTAGTAGGAAGAACTCTGGTTTGTATTCAATTTGATCTTTGGTTATCTCCTCCAGCCATTTTCTAATTTTTTGCCAGTATTTCTGGGCTTCTTTACAGGTCCACCACATATGAAAGTAGGTTCCCTCTATGTTTTTACATTTCCAACATTTTGGACTAGAGTTTGGGTTCATTTTCGCTAACCTCGAAGGGGGTAAGTGCCATCTATATAACATTTTATACATATTTTCTTTGTACGCCGCAGATTTCGTAATCTTGCTTCTCTCCTTGACGAGTTTCCATCCGTTGTTTCTCACCTGCCCACAGGTGCTTTGGAAAATAGGTTGACTCCCTCTTCTCTGTGGCAGCCCTTCAAATATTGCAAGTCTGCTATCCTTCCCTCCTAGTCCTTCTCTTCACTAGACTAGACATTCCCAATTCCTGTAACCATTCTTAGAATAGAATATGGAATAAGGATAGAATAGGGAATAAGAATAGAATAGAATAGGGAATGGAAAATAGAAATAGAATAGGGAATGGAATGGAATTGAAAATAGAATAGAATAGAATAGCAGAGTTGGAAGGGAGCTTAGAGGTCTTCTAGTCCAACCCCCTGCTCAGACAAGAAACCCTACCCCATTTCAGACAAATGCCTGTCTAATCTCTTAAAAACTTCCAGTGTTGGAGAATTCACAACTTCTGAAGGCAAGTTAATTGTTTTAACTGCCAGGAATTTTCTTCTTAGTTCTAAGTTGCTTCTCTCCTTGACTAGTTTCCACCCATTGCTTCTTGTCCTGCCTTCAGGTGCTTTGGAGAATAGCTTGACTCCCTCTTCTTTGGGGCAGCCCCTGAGATATCGGAACACTGCTATCCTGTCTCCCCTGGTCCGTCTCTTCACTAGACTAGCCATGCCCAGTCCCTGCAACTGTTCGTCATACTTTTAGCTTCAAGTCCCCTAATCATCTTTGTTGCTCTTCTCTGCACTCTTTCTAGAATCTCAACTCCTTTTTTGTATTGTGTGATCAAACTTTGATGCCATACTCCAAGCGTGGCCCTACCAAGGCCTTATAAAGTACTATCAATACTTCACGTGATCTTGATTTCTATCCTTCTGTTTATGCAGCCTAGGACTGTGTTGGCTTTTTTGGCAGCTGCTGGCTCATATTTAAGTGATTGTCCACTAGGACTCCAAGATCCCTCTCACTATTGAGCAATAAACTTTGAGCGATCGTCATACATTCCAACTTCTAGTCCCCTAATCATCTTGGTTGCTCTTCTCTGCATTTTTCTCCCTCACATAAGGTCTCAACATCTTTTCTTTTCTTTTTGGATCACAGTGACCAAAACTGAATCGACCGGCTTCATTTGAACAGGAGGAGGATGCAATGGTGCAGATCGATCAGCACCACTGAAAACTCTTCGACTCTTGAAAGCTGTCACTAACCAGGAGAATTCAACAGCGGCCTCTCTCAACAAGAGGTCTGCTTACCCCCATCAGGACAAGTGCTTCGGCTTTGGCTTCTTCGGTTTGAGGAAGATGAAGGTTCATCTCGTCGCCGTCAAAATCGGCGTTGTATGGCGTGCAAACACATTCGTTGAACCGGAAAGTCCGGTGCGGCTTTACCTTAGCCTGAAACACAAGGTCAAACCAAGGTAAGAAAGAGAACAAATGCTCAAGGGATTTTAAATAGGCCCACTGGTAATAATGGGAAGCGCCTGTCCTTTGGCTTTGAATAGGGCGGTTTTGGTTCTGACCCAGGCTTAGCAGAACCAAGAAACAGACTCCTTGTCCAGAAAACCCGCTCTTTATTTGGCTACTGTGAATTCATGGCATTCACACACAAAAAAGTCCAGGCAATAATCCTTCCAAGGGTTAATTGCAAGAACAGACCTTATCAGTTCCTTGGATAATTGCCAGACCGAGAGCTTCCAGTCACGAACCACAATAAGCAAATCTTCATAATAATAAGTGAACTATTAGTCTCCTGCAACCACCACTCCCCTTTTGCTTCTATTTATTCCCAAAGGAGGGGCCATTTAGTGTCCAAGTGCCTTTCCTTCCAAATTGGCCCATTTCTTAATTGTTCTCCTCTCCTGACAGCTCTGTGCATACACAGATCTGGAAGAGGCCCCAGCTGTTCTTCTTCCCCACTTATCTCCAACTCTGAAGACAGCTGGGAAATGTCCGACAGCCCTGGCCCCATCTCTGCTTCCAAAGCAGAGCCTTCCTTCCCCAGACTCCAGGTCTGGCCTAAGTTCCTCCCCAACCTACTCATCGTCTGAGTCTGCCGCCAGCTCTGCTGGCAGCTGGCAGGCCACAACAGTTTTAACAAGAAAAAGAGAATGAAATATTTGATCTTGAATACAGTAACACACGACGGTTCAATCTGGCTTCCCCCTTGACTTTGCTTGTCAGAAGGTCGCAAAAGGAGATCACATGACCCCAGAACCCTGCAACAGTCGTAAGTACATGCCAGTTGCAAAGCAGCCAAATTCTGATCACATGACCAAGTAGATAGAAAACGTCTATGGAGATTCTTTGTCATCCAGGTCATGGTTGTTCCAAAGGTGGTTTTTCAAGAGGCAACTGGACTTTCTTGGTTTTTTCCTTGAAGGCATTTTGCTTCAGTTTTGAGAACTTCAGAGCTGAAGAGGCTTCTTGGAAGAGAAACAAAGTGTCTTCAAAGAAAAAACCAGAAAGTCCAGTTGCCTCTTGAAAAAGCACCTTTGGTTTTTCCTTGGCAACTTAGGTTTGGTTCTACTTTCTACAGAAATGATGGAATAGTTAGCTATTTGTAACAGAATAATGGAGTTGGAAGGAGCCTTGGAGGTCTTCTAGTCCAACCCTTTCCTCAGGCAGAAACCCTTTACCATTTCAGACAATTGGTTGTCCAAACTCTTGTTAAAAAAAAACCTCTAGTGTTGGAGCATTCACAACTTCTGGATGCAAGTTGTTCCACTGATTAATCCCTTTAACTGTCAGGAAATTTCTCCATCTGCAAATTTAGTACAATAAGCAACTTCGTCCCTAGATGAATCATGAAGCCAAATGCCCAGATTGCGTTTGAAGTTTGACACAGACAACATCTTCCGCACCAGCCTTCTCCTTCTCTTACTGCAACCCTACTCCTAAAGACCAGGAAACAATGAGAAACCTAAAATAGATTTTGTGCTTACGATGTGAGCCATGATGCTGAGCTTGTGCAAAGAGGGCTGGCGGTTAAACAAGACTATGTCTCCATCGATCAGGTGCCTCTCTACAATGTCTCCATACTTCAGCTCCTGCGCCATCCTCTCCCGGTTTCCATATTTCAAAAACCTAAGCAGGGGCAGGAAGAGAGAAAGAAAATACACAAATTGATTCAAACTTGCACTTAATATATTTTGAAGTACCGTCTACTTGGCCCAAAGGGGCTTTTTTTTTTTTCAAGAGGCAACCGGACTTTCTGGTTTTTCTTTGAAGACGTTTCCCTTCTCATCCAAGAAGCTTCTTCAGCTCTGACTGGATGGTGGGGAATGGAAGGATTTATACTCCTTGCAGACAGCTGGTCATTTGCATCCTTTTTAGAGGGTCATTGAGGCCACCTGGAGGTTTGTCTGTGTCCTCAGGGTCACTTGAACAGTGCAAATGGGTGTGGAGCCTTCTTGTCTTTCTCAGCAGTACCAAAAAGGCTCCACACCTATTTGTACTACTGTCATGACCCTGAAGACACAGACAAACCTCCAAGTGGCCTCAACAACTCTCTAAAAGAATACAAATGACCAGCTGTCTGCAAGGAGTATAAACCTTCCATTCCCCACCATCCAGTCAGAGCTGGATGAAATCATTGGATGAAATGATTACCTTTTCTAAACCCCACCATAAAAAAACCCCCATCCCCTTATACCTTGGAAATGCCTTCTTTAGTAATAAAAATGATTTCCCCTAAAACTAGTTATTCATCTAACAGTCAAAAGTTGCAGCGCATACTATAATAAAATATAGTATAGATTAAACCTTTGTATTGAGGGTTTTGTAAGATGGATAAACGAACTGTATTATTGTTTTGTGACTATTATTGTTTACTATTATGACTTATGTTAACATTGTATTTCTACCTAAAACTAATTACGTCCAGACAACACGCTTTTCAGATTGATATGGAATTTTTTATGCGATATAAAAGGAAAATGTATTAATAAAACATTTTTTTTAAAAAAAAAAACGTTGCAGTGCAGGCATTACACTCAATTGTTCAGGAAGAGAACACGCTTTGTCGTCCAAACATGCTGATCAACAAATACAACCATTTTTAATTGTACAGTTAATGGGATTAAAATTAAAACTGTACGTGCTTCTATCAGCTGGGAATCCAAGCTTCTAAGGTTTTCTTTTTTACAACTAAGGCACATTGCTGCTTCTGTGGAAAAGTATGTTTGTAGGGGTTAATTTCACCCACACTTAAAAACAGAAGGGCCTTAGCAAAAGAAATGAAATGTAAATTGACAGGAAGAAACCACAAAGATTGTGTTGAATTACATCCAAGTCCTATAGATAAAGGTAAAGGTTCCCCTCGCACAGGCGTGCTAGTCGTTTCCGGTTCTAGAGGGTGGTGTTCATCTCTGTTACAAAGCTGAAGAGCCAGTGCTGTCCGAAGACGTCTCCATGGTCATGTGGCCGGCATGACTAAATTCCTTTCAAGGCGCATGGAACGCTGTGACCTTCCCACCAAAGTGGTCCCTATTTTTCTACTTGCAGTTTTTTTACTTGCTTTCAAACTGCTAGGCTGGCAGAAGCTGGGACAAGTAACAGGAGCTCACTCCGTTACGCGGCGCTAGGGATTCGAACCGCCCAATTGCAGACCTTTCTGATCGACAAGTTCAGCAGCTTAGCCACCGCATCCCTAGGCCAAGACCTATAGAGTTATGCATGACTGAAGCCAAGAACTGAAACAGGGGACAGAGAAGTAGAAAAATGCTACTTATGACTAAAAAACAAACAAACCCCGCACCGTTTCATTTGTGTATGCCTCTGCTGGATGAAGTTGGCACCGGGATGGACTTCTGGACCATTACGTACAAGTTTCCTCATGAAGGCGATGTTGGCCTTGTTTACCTGCACCAGGTAGAAAGGAAATGCACCTTTAGAGGTCTAGAGCGTAATGGAAAAACAAACCTTTACGATGACCTCAAGAACTGGATATATGGAAGATGTCACAAGAGTTGATACAGTAAGACAAAAGTGTCAATATTACGTCAAATTTAGTAAATATGTCCAGGTTAATATATCAACATTGTCATCACCACTACCACCCACACACCTAGGACAGGGGCTACCTGTTATTCCAAATAATACAATTCTGACTTACTTTAGTCTTGCAGTTAACAGAATCACAGAGTTGGAAGGGGTCTTGGAGGCCTTCTAGTCCAACCCCTTGCTCAAGCAGGAAACCTTAGATCAATTCAGACAAACGGCTATCCGATCTCTTCTTAAAAACCTCCAGTGATGAAGCACCCACAACTTCTGGAGCAAGGGCGTTCAAACTTGGCAAGTTTGTGGACTTCAATTCCCAGAATCCCTGAGCTAACAAGACTGGAAGAGGAATTCTGGGAGTTGACGTCCACAAGTCTTAAAGCTGTCAAGTTTGAAGACCCCTGTTCTGGAGGAAAGCTATTCCACTGATTAATTGTTGTTACTGTCAGGAAATTTTTCTTTAGTTCCAGCTTGGTTCTCTCCTTGATTAGTTTCCATCTTTTGCTCCTTGTCCTGCCTTCTGGTGTTTTGGAAAATAAGTTGACGCCCCTCTTCTTTGTAGGAGCACCTTAGATACTGGAACACTGCTATCATGTCACCCCCAGTCCTTCTTTTCATTAGACTAGACATACCCAATTCCAGCAATTTATATGTTTTAGCCTCCAGTCCCCTAATCACCATTGTTGCTCTTCTCTGCGCTCTTTCTAGAGTTTCAACATCATTTTTATAACATGGCGACCAAAACTGGATGCAGTATTCCAAGTGTGGCCTTACCAAAGCATTATAAAATGGTATTAACACTTAATGTGATCTTAATTCTATCCCTCTGTGAATGCAACCTAAGACTCAATTCGATTCAAACTACCGTTTCCCTAAAAATACAACCTACCCTAAAAGTAAGTCCTAGCTTGATTTTTTTTACACATGCACCCAATATAAGACCTACCCCCAAAATAAACCCTAGGCTTTTTCATGAAGGCCTCTGTAGCTGATAACAAAGCTCTGGATCAATCCTGAGTTCTATTATCAGCTGCAGAGGCCTTCAGGAAAGCCTTGCTGGCCACAGAAGAAGAAGTTCCTGAAAGCCTCAGACAGCGAAAAGGAGGCCGGGGGCAACGTGCGCAAGTGAGGTTAGTCAGTGGATGACATCCCCTGAAAATAAAAGCTGGTGCCTTTTTTGGTGGGGGAAAAAAAAAAGACAAGATCTTATTTTTGGGGAAACGCCGTAAGTGTGAAATCTTTAATCGAGGGCATCTCGTCGAGGGCTTCTATACCAAGGGGCCACACCACAGAGAATCAGAGTGGAATTCGTCTTCGCTACCTTCTCCGGAAAGGTGAGAATCTTGGCCACGTGAACAGGTACAGCCACTTCGTCAATTCTCAGGTTCGGGTCGGGAGAGATCACTGTTCTACCTGAGAAATCGACTCGTTTTCCAGACAAGTTTCCCCTAAAACGACCTAAGCAAAAAAAAAAAAAAAAAGCAAAGCAAAACAAAAAACAAAACAAAAAAAAGGAAAGAGGGAAAATGAGGTGAACTTAAGTGAAATAAAACCCGATTGATGTTTCGGTGAGAAACAACCACACACACACAAGCTTGCAAATCTGTTACCGGTGTATATTGGTGCCTCGCCGTGGGGCCCACAAACTATGGAGGTAACTGAAATAGGGGAACACCAACCTTGCTTCCCTTTGAGCCGTTGCACAAAGCCTCTGGTCCATTTCTTGGGCGCCATGTTGAGGGGAATGCCGGAAAGTTCGCTGTTAATATACAGGGCACATTGTAGCTGCAGGAAATCCCAATCTTCCATTATCATCTGAGTTTTGGCTCCGGATATTCTATGCTGGACAGACAGAAGCCAACCCAAAAGGCCAAAACAAATAAACAAACAAACAAAAAGGCAGATTAAAAACTATTGGTTGTAACACTGGGAAGTTCACATGTTTTTTCTGAAGAACAGGGATCACGGAGAACTTAAGTAAAAGCAATAGCCCCTTAGACTTATGTACTGCTTCATGGTGCTTTCCAGTCCTCTCTAAGCGGTTTACAGAGTCAGCCTCTTTCCCCCAAACAATCTGGCTCCTCCTTTGACCCACCTTAAAAGGATGGAAGGCTGAGTCAACCTTGAGCCTGTCAGAATTGAACTGCTGGCACTCAGCAGAATTAGCCTGCAATACCACTGTGCCACCGCGACTCTTTTGAGAATGTATTGTGTTGCTAAACATCATAGTGAAGCTATAGACCGGCGTGGTGGCCTAGTGGTGAAGACTCTCACCTCCCACTTGGAAGGTTGAGAGTTCAATCCTAGCTAGTGTCATATGTTTCTCTCTCCTAGGGTGCAAAGAGAAAAAAAAAAGCTGCTGTGAAGTTTGCATAGGGCATTCGGCCAGTAAACGCTCAGCTCTATCCAGTTGCTCCCATTCTACTTCGGATTAAGGGATTATAATGCAGTGGCACAGTGGTTAGAGTGCAGTACTGCAGGCTACTTCAGCTGACTGCTGGCTGCCTCTGCAATTTGGCAGTTTGAATCTCACCAGGCTCAGGGTTGATTCAGCCTTCCGTCCTTCCGAGGTTGGTAAAATAAGGACCCAGATTGTTGGGGGCAAGAGGCTGACTCTGTAAACTACTTAGAGAGGGTTGAAGAAGCACTCTGAAACAGTGTATAAGTTTAAGGGCAATTGCTATTGCTATGATTAACTGTGGTTTGTTAATCAAAAGTCTGCTCATTTCAAACACAGTGCTTTCAAATATATCTAAAATGTCTCAGGGCTGTATCCAAATTAAGTCATTTTGAAATCAGTGGAAGAAATTATCATTAGGAATATCATGGCTTTCAATGTGAAGACAATTGAATGACCTTAGCCTATGTGGGGGTCAAATAAAAAGCCCATTATCCATAAAGAGACAGCTCGTGTACAAGGAAACCAAAATAATAATTTACCATATATATCAGGATGGTGTAAATATCATGGTAACCCTGATATAGTGGAAATTTAGCAAGGACTAAAATAGGGTGTGTGTGTGTGTGTGTTTTGTGTGTGTGTGTGTGTTTTGTGTGTGTGTGTGTTTAAAGCCAAGAATATCACCAGAGCCAGAAGATAGGTTTAATGAACAGCCAGAAACACGATTAGCATCAGAATTGAGCAAAACCTGTTAATTAAAATAGCTGGGAAAAATAGCCTGAAGGAAAAATCAATAAGGTAGCCAGGCCAAGACATAATAGGTCTCGGCCAGAATTCATGATGATTAAAGAACCACCTTGAGATGTTCAATATTTGAAACAGTAAGTTGAGGCAACATTTTACAATGAACAGGAGACAAGATTTTTGCAACCGCCTTTTGACAACAAACTGAGAAAAGTTTCTTTCAGGAAATACTTACACAAGACAGGGAGAAGAGGAGAGGGAGAAGAGGAGAGGAGAAGGGAAGGGAAGGGAGGAGAAGGGAAGGGAAGAAAAAGGAAAGAGAAGAGAAGAGAAGAGAAGAGAAGAGAAGAGAAGAGAAGAGAAGA